GGTGGTCTAGGCTAGAGATTGACCATAAGTAAACACAATCGACCCTTTAGTCATAAAATATCGCAATCGATTAGTTTTATTTAGAAGTTATTGATTTTTGTTTATATAAGATATTAAACGAAATAGATTTACAAATATAGTGAATTTTGTTGATAATAAACAAGATTTCGACTTAAATAAAAAAAAAACTAAAAACATATTATTTTCTCAGCTGAAAGACATAATGTACTTAAATATCAATTATCTATTAACGTCTTCTTGAGTAACGACTATTTGAGAAAATTTAGAACCTCCTTATAAATTGCAAATAAATATATTTTTATGTCTTAATTTTAATCGATTTGAATAAAAATCGATTAAACAACACCCTCAGGCACGCGTGTTGGACATCCCTTTCTGGTTACTTCGTAAAGCTTCGTGCTTATTCGGCAATGCTCGGTACACGGTAATATTTCTCAGTCACACGTTAGCATTGGTGTCGTGTTCGTGTCGCTATCTCTGTCTTGAGCACAGTCGGTTACAAAAGTTTTCGTTGTTATTGTTGTTTGTTTTTATTAATAGTGTTAAGTTTGTTTTGTTTGTTTTATTTGTTTTATTTGCAAGTGTCAGTTAGCACTTATATTATTCGCCAAACATGCCACCAAAACATAACAGTGTGTTAAATCGCCAGGCGAGAAAAATTATTTACGATTTAACGCAATATATGAAAAAAAGAAAAAGAAGAAGGCGTAAAAGATGTCGATAAAGTTTATTTAAGAGTTGCTAACGCAACTGGTGTGTCCCAACGCACAGTACAGCGGATCGCAACTGAAGGCAATATTTCGGGCTTACTTTCAGTATTCCGCACGCCTGGTAAAAAAAGGTCTAGATCAAAACCTATTACTGATATGGATAATTTTGACCAGGGAGTATTAAAAAAGATGCATACACAACTTCCACAAAACTGAAAAAGAAATGCCGACGATAAACAAATTACTAGCGAAACTCAAACGGGATATAAATTTTCAAGGTGGTAAAACGAGCTTAAAGACAATTATCAAAAACTTGGGTTTCAAGTGGCGAAAGACCGAAACCAATAGAATGGTTCTTATAGAGAAGACCGACATTCGCCTGAAAAGGATCTTGTACTTGAAGGCAATGAAAAAATACAGGGACGAAGGGCGACCAATTGTATTCACTGACGAGTCGTATGCCCACTCATCACATACAAAAGGTAAGGCGTGGTCAGATGGTTCCGCTCAAGGACTAAAGCGCCCGATATCAAAAGGTCAGCGGATAGTGATGGTACACGCTGGGTCAGAAGCAGGGTTTGTTCCGAACGCGCTACTAATGTTCAAATCTGGCAGCAAAACCGGAGACTATCATGATGACATGAATTTCAAAAATTATGAGAAATGGTTACGGACCCAACTGATTCCAAATTTGAGCCCTAACTCGGTGGTGGTTATCGATAATGCTCCGTACCACAACAAATTAATGGATCCTGCCCCTACATCTAATGACAAGAAGGCAAAAATGGAATCGTGGTTATTAGAAAAGGGTATACCATATGAAAAGGACATGCGTAAACCACAACTTTACGATCTAATAAAAAAAAACAAAGACGTGAATAAAAAATACGTAATAGATGAAATGTTTAAACAAAACAACCACGATGTCCTTCGTTTACCCCCATATCATCCCGATTTAAACCCCATCGAGATGGTGTGGGCTGCCATTAAAGGGCACGTAGCCGCTAAAAACGTCGACTGGAACGTAACCCGGACAATGGAGCTCATACAAGAAAAAGTAAATTTAATGGGTCAGAATGAATGGAGTGCTTTATGCAGAAAAGTGCAAGAGGTCGAACATGACTATAGGAAGAGCGACCATATTATTGACGAAATGACGGATCAATTATTCATCATTAATACAGCTTCAGATTCAGAAAGTGAGTCTGAAAGTGAGAGCGACGATTACGAAGATGAACCTATGCCAAGTACCTCACATGGTACACAAGGGGCCGACGACTTTATGTTAGGAATTTCCCCCCCTCAGCGACAGTGATTAAATAATAATAAGTGTAAATAAATAAAAAGTATTAAATGTAAATAATATTGTATGTGTTTGTGATAAAATCTGCCCCTATCGAAAGGTGAGGTATCAAAATTGAATCTTTAATTTATAATGTCTCCAAAGTGTTTTGATATTTTTGGTCACTGTATTAGGGAAATTTTATTTGTACATTGGTATATATAAAAAAATGACAATAACAGTTTTCTTCACGAGTGTTCATGCGCTAAACTTCGCAGAGCCTATATTCAGACTCGCCAAGATACGTCGGCCGTATTGTATATGGCAGGCCTAAAATGACAGCGTTTAGGATTCCCCGATCATAGACTAAATTCAGAAAGAGATTGATTTCCGTCTCAAATCAGTGCTGCCAAATTCTAAATTTAAAAATCGCTGAAAAATAAATAATCGCTAAACGATAAAAAATATGTCTAAGAGCTCTGAAAAATCACCAGATCTGGTGACAAAATTACCAAAGTGGCAACTCTGTACATGACTCTTACGGTACGTATACACCAAAACCGATTTTGTCGAGCGATGGCGGACCGAACTACTCGGACGAGTTACTCGGACGTGTATGTGCTACAGTGCCGACATCGGACGTTGCCAGTATTCTGTTGACTCTGTTGCTTAACAGATGCGTTTTTAAAATGGAGGAATTTGAAGAAATGTATCTCTTTGAAAATTCATACCGCAATTTAATTCGTCGACGTCATCGTCGGCGACATCGGCGTGTGTGGGTTAATGAAATATTTATGTACAGAAAACAACTAGGTGAATACCACCACCTTTTTTGAAGAATTAAAATTACAACCCATGAAGTTCTTCGAATATTTTAGAATGTGTTTTAGCACATTTCAATATATTCTAAATGCAGTCGAACCACTAATAACAAAGCAGAATACAAACTATAGGGAATGTATATCACCGACGGAAAGACTCGCTATAACATTGCGGTAAGTATAGATGGATGTAATTTTATAGATTTGTTGTAGGGTTAGTTAGGCACTTAACGACAAGAATTCTTGTGACATAATTATTAACATGTTACCTTTAATTTCAGGTACCTTGCAACTGGACATTCTTTTCGATCTTTAGCATTTTCGTTTAGAGTGTCAAATAGTGCCGTTGGAATAATTGTCAGAGAGACTTGCAAGGCTATATTTGATAGTCTAGTATCACATCATATGCCTATGCCAACCGACGAAATGATCCACCAAAATGTTGAATTATATTGGTCGAAGTGGGGATTTCCTAATTGTATTGGTTCGTTGGACGGTAAACATATTCGAATGAAATGCCCTTCTAATTCTGGTAGTATGTACTATAATTACAAGAAATTTTTTTCCATTGTTTTACAAGCGGTTGCAAGCCCAGATTACAAATTTTTATTTATTGAAGTAGGAGCTTATGGACAACAAAGCGATGGTGGTACGTTTGCCTCTTCGGCTATGTATCGTCAGTTTGAAAATGGATATTTAAATATTTCTAAATGTTTACCAAATACAAATACCTTGTTGCCCTTGGTATTACTAGCAGATGAAGCCTATCCTCTAAAAAAGGTATATTATGAGACCATATCCAAGACGTAACCTGGGAGAGCAGGAAACAATTTATAACGAACGTTTATCAAATGCCCGAGTAGTAATTGAATGTGCTTTTGGTATAATAACACAAAAATGGAGAATATTGACCAAATGTATAGAAACAACTACAGAAAATGCTGAGACTATTGTAAAGTGTATTTGTTTATTACACAACATTGTTATAGCCAAAGAAGGACAACCAAGGCACAATCATTCCACAGATCAAAGGAGAAATTTAGGTCAAAGAAGTAACTATGCTTCTAGAGGGCAAAACAGAAGTACGACTGAAGCTTATAATATTCGTGAAGCTTTCAAACACTTCTTTAGTAATGAAAATATGGTTCAATAAATTATAATTTTTCAATTAATTTTATTTTAAACCCTACTGTAATAAAAAAAACGTGTGAAATTGAAATAAAAATCCATAGTTTAGTGACCTATTGGTTTTATTTTAATTAATAAGTATTATTTAGATGTACTCGTAATAATAAATGGAAAAATTATCGTAAATTCGAGTCCAAATCTGCATTAGTGATCGTGTACAAATGTTGAACGCTTGAACTAGGTATTTAAATACCTAAACACTGCCAAGTTTTAACAGTCCGACAATTATGCATTTATCTTACTATTTTAAAACAACACGTGTCACTAAATTTTAGTGAGACAAAGTGTGCCATACAGTTTACCATTGAATATTCCTACGCACATAAATATTTTTGTTTTCTTGGTCCACTCTTGTAAAATAAAATAAATAAGCAACTAAACTTATACATTTTCAATAAGAATCAATGTAAAAAAAACCTATTCAAATGGCTTCAAAAACTAGATTTTTCTATAGGATAGGGTGACAAACGAGCACACAGTCCACTTCTCTACACTCACCATACGAAACACAGCAGCATTAAGCTACTATTTTACGTAGGTACTCTGTGAGAGCGTGGTCCTTCCCCGGTCGAGCCCACCCATTCATGCTAACTATAATGGCTGTAGCGTGGATCTACCATGTAAATTGTAAATGATTAAACAGAAGAATTATTGAAATCCCTAAATAACTGAATTACCTTTATAATGTATAATTAATACACTATTAAATTATATCTTCTTATTATAATTATTACTTTAATGAATACTACTCGACCTCTCCGTCGCAAACACACAAAACACATACACACATACGAAAAGAACAATTTACACTCAACACTTAAAAACTAATAATTAATAAAAGGTTTAATTTTAATACTTTAAAATAATACTGTTTGATATATGTTTACGTAAGTTTCTTAATCATTAAGATTTCTGTTAAAATGTCTTAAATACAATCTTGGTAATTTTTTTTCCTGAATAAAGAAATTATTATGATTATTATGTTGATGATTGTGAAGGAGTCGTTTGATTGGTGGTCAGTGGCAAATGACCCTTCGCGAATGCGGATGTTTGTGCAGGCGTCATTTGATTAATGATCAGTGGCAAAGGCTCTTCAATATTGACAACGCATGGAGTAAATGACATATTCGATGACAGGTCTCCAGAATCGGGGCGACTTAATTCTTCGGAGTAACGGCTTACAGGAGAATACTGTAGTTGGGTATTTTCTTCTTCCATGAACACGTCTAACAATTTTCGTTGAACCAAGATTTTTCTATTTCGTGGCACTTCTTTTAAGTATGGAAGCAAACTCAACAAAAAGTTACGATCAGGATCATCTGCAGATTTATCTGCTGACCTGGACTCATATAATTGAAGTTTTCTTTTTTCGATCTCTAAATACTCTTGGTCCACATCAATATTTCTCTTTTTCATAAGTCTTCCAGGTTGATTGGATGTAAAACGATGAGCTTGCGTTATAGGTACACGAATAGGTTTGGTATGTGGTCTAGTATGTTGTTGTGACGTGGATAATACTGCTTGGCTTGAATTCGAAGCTCCTAGCTGCGACAAAGATGAAGGTCCAGGCTGCAATAAAGGTGCGGGTGTGGGCTGCGACAAAGGTGAGAGTCCAGGCTGCGGTACTGTTTGTGGCTGTGATTCAGGTGAATACTTAGAAAAATAGGAGGACTCCGCAATATCTTCAGTTTCTTGGCTAGGAGGTTCAGGCACATTTCCGGTTAAAGTTTTCGGTGTGATTTGTTTCGCCAAGAATAGTAACGATTCGTAATATATCCACGAAGTTAATTTGTGATCCGCCGCAGCACCGGATCTACCTGGTTCATTGCGTTTGTTATATTCTTTACGGAATTGGTCCCTTAAATTGGTCCATTTTTTTTTAATGTCTGGAATCGCTATATCCATTTCCGATGCAACTTCAGCCCATAACCGTTTCGAAACATCTCGATTATTGTAATTTTTTGAATGTTTATCCCACAAGGTTGGTCTACTAAAAACACAACTAATTAATTTTTCAATATCCATAGTCGTTTAGGTGTATAAGAACGCTGACAGAAAAAAACAGAATTAACAAATTATAAATTAAACTATAAATACACTTAATTTTCTCTGTAGACGCCGGCAGTCTGGCGAAAAATCCCAACAAGTTCGGATCGGCCGTTGATCGGCCGTTTTCGTCTGTCATCGGACGATGGCGGTCGTGTTGGTGTACGCGCTCTCTTTGTTTTACAAGTGTTTGATTCGATCGACGGGGTTCGGCCGTCGTTGCCCGAGCAAACTTCGGCCGATGACGGATTAGGTGTAAGCGAGCCGTTGATCTGATATTTTCGTGCGTAATCGGACGATGCAATCGTATTGGTGTACGCGCTCTCTTTGTTCCACCAGTGTTTGATTCAATCGTCCGAGTTCGGCCATCGTCGCCCGAGCAAACTTCGGCCGATAACGGATTAGGTGTACGCGAGCCGTTATAATATTCGTCGATAAATGCGTTTACTCAAAAACCCCACTTGGCAATACAATCAAAACACCCAAACCACTAACAAACAAATCTAGATACTTGATCAGAATTTTTGAAGATCTTTAGATTTTTGTATTTATAATATTTTATCTTTATTAAGATTTAGAAATCATGCTATGAACTGAGAATCATTAAGAAGATTATCTGATTTTAGGTGCAATCAGTCTAAGAAATACGAAGACAAAAATCAAAGATATGTTTATTACGAGTTATTGTCAAAATCACTTTCTAAATATTGCTACTGTTATAGTTGTGTATAATAAACAAAGGCAGGTATACTATGAATCTCTCCTGGTAATTGTATGTCTTGTTTTAAGTCTTTCAGTAATTCAAGTATTATTGGTACCTATTTACGAACTATGTAATATTCAATTAATTTATGAAGTTATTGCACATTTGTCAAAATTGTCAATAACGGTCAGCGTCAACTACAAAGGACGGCTAGGTGTCGACCCTTTCCCTATGCCTGGGGTCCACTATAGGCCTTGATTCATCTGTTCTTTCTATTTAACCTTGATGATAGCTAAACGAGAAAGACCTAAAAAGATATTAATATTAAATATGCAATATTATTTACATATAAAAAGTGTAAGTATCAAAATGTTTCAGTTGAACTACAAATCCAGTCATCAGTCAGTTATATATTATATATTACACTTATAGTATCTGATTTCAATAGTTACTAAAAATGCCATGTATTATCAATGTTTCAAAAGGAAGGATAGGTCCATCTAAATATTTTACTCATAAATTTTTCGTACAAGAAAAAGTAGCGCATCTGTCATAATACAAACGTCATAACACGACGTAACCAGGGTCGGAATTCATAGTATAACTATCCTAATTATACCATTATTTCATAGTTTGTTGTATATAGTATCGTAATAATACTAAGCGAAAATACCATAATTTTACATAAAGTTCGACTTGTATTATTATTGGGTCCTTTTACTTTTTAATATTAACCCTACGATATCGAGAATTTTGTATTGCACATGAGTAGCTCGTTTTTTTAATTAAATTAGAATTAGCTCCCTTTCTGGCCAATCAGTGCTCGACCGTTGCATTTATGTTGCATCCTTAATGACTATAATGAGGGGCTACCACGATAAATACTCAATGCTCCAGAAGCAATCGATTTGAAAACAGAATTTCAAAATATTTTATGAATCAGATTTTCACATTCAATTAAGCAGATATAGTTTCTTTTGCACTTTATTCTTTTTACCCTTATTGAATATAAAATATATTAGGTACCAATATTTAACTTACACTAAGTTCTTTAGACAAAAATAAAACAGAAATAAAAATAATACCATCAAAAAACGTAACATATAGATAAACTAGACGCGTGACGCCAAAATGGCACATGGGGAAAAAAGGAACATGAAACATCAAACGTGATATAATTTTTTAAAATAGTATAATTTTATTTTCCATGTACATTATTTTTGAGGGTCTGAATCCAACCCTGGCCTAATCTTGGGAACGTAACTAAACTAACTGTAAAATAAACTTTTAAAATGCGTTTATATAATAATTTTATTGTAACAATTAATATAAAGTTATTAACCGATGATACGATATCCCATTTTTGCATCCTTTTACCAGGCAAAATACCATAAAGTATGACATTGACAGGTACTGTCTGTACTGAAATGTGTAATATAGCGCATAGCGCCATATTATAGCGCGCTATCTCTCCATAACGCATAGCGCGTGCTATGTAAGTAGTCGCAATGGCGCTATGACGCTACGACGCTTTGGCGCTATTCATTTCAAGTGGCAATTATTTCTAGCTGGTTCTAGCAGCAGCGCTATTGGGAGTAGACGTGTGACGCAAATTTAATCTAGCAGCACGCTATTCATCGCGCGCGAACTAATTTAGTGTCATACGTTGTTTAGTTATTGTATATATATATATATAAGTGATCGAAGGACACAGTTGTCTGCTACAAAAGAAGCCTAATTAATGTTTTTAAATGTAAATAAAATATAGATACAAAAGTGTATATAATATTGTTTGTAAATAGTTGATTTTTGTATATACAATCAATGAACTTTTAAATACACCTTTAATGATTTATAATTTATATTAAGGTTAAAATAACGTTTACGTCAATTATAATAAAAAAATGATTAATTTTATTTTGTTTTTTAGAAGTACATGCCTTAAAAATATTTTTGGGATTATAGAAAGTAAGCCTGAAAGAATGAAAGAGCGTTTATTGATTTCTCTTTACCACTTTATTTTATTTTAATCTAAAATTCGACTTATTACGAAATAATGTTCCTATATAGCACTCGGTCTATCCCAATGATATTATAAGAAAAATAGGTAGATAGGTTATACGCGCACCGCAAGTGGCACGTAAAAACTAGGCTAATTAGCAAACCTGAGCTCAGTCGTCGCGCTATCATCGCGTCATTGACAACGGCGTTGATAGTAATTCGTGTTTTGTTTTTGCAATGAAAATGCCGTTATATGTGATGAGATTCTGCGCAAACTACACAAGAAAGGTTTCCAAAAGTCAAAAGGAATCATAGTTCATTCGTTTACTATTTCCTTAATTTATTTTCGTATTGTTTACAAATTCAAAAATTACGTATTTTAAAATATATTATCAGAAAAAATAGAGAGGGATAAAATACCCCAATGAGTGAGTTTGAAAGAGAAGTAATATTGTTTCTGATCAAAGAATATAAAAAACAGATAGGTCCCTTCTGAGTATCGTAATTAAAATTGTGTACATATATTTCTTGTTTTATTGAAGGGTAAATTAACTATGTCATTATTAATTAATAAGTTCAATTAATTTGTTTTGTAGCGTAACGAAGTGGTATATACGATCGTATATAAATAATTATTACAATAGTTTATTTGATAATAAATTTTAATAAACCCAATATTTTTTTATTTTCCTACTTTTAATGCATTTTTAATACCTTATTACTTTTACTACTTGCACTCATGAGTGAATCGCGTTTTATGTCGGCTCTAGACGTTGGCCAACACAGTGGCGAATGTAGTGGCGAATATATTGGCCGATATTTGGTGACGGCGTCCACACGTTGGAAGGTCGTTCAGTTTACTTCGGTTCGGGCCAATGTGCGGACGAATTTATTTTATTTTGGACGACGGCTCCGTGGCACGTCACGTCTGATAGAAAAGCAACATGTAGTTGCTTTTCTATCAGACTTTTGATATATATATATATATATATATATATATATATATAAATATATATGTATATATAATACCTTATAATTTATTTGGTAATTTAATTATTTTTTGAGAAAGACAAAAACAATAGCAATAAATATAATTAACACTGACTTAATAATAGGTACTACTTATAACTTAGAACATAAATGAAAAACTCATGACAAGGAAAGTGGCTCAGGACCATGCTTTGCATGGATGAACAGCTGTAATGATGATAATGATTCGAAAACTTGCACGATTAAATTATAAGAAATCGACGTTTTATTTTATAGGATAGGGTGACAAACGAGCACACAGTTCACCTGATGGTGGTGGGGTGGTTACTATGGCCCATAGACATCTACATCTATCCTCGATTACGAATCAAAATGCAGATGCGTTATCACCCGTGAGGACTAAGATGAAATGCCTCGTTTCCTTTAAAAAGGGTCTCTGGTTCTCTACACTCACTATACGAAATACAGCATCATTAAGCTACTATTTTACGCTGATATTCTATGAGAGCGTGGTCCTTCTCCGGTTGAGCCGACCCATTCGTGCTACAACTATACTTCTAATATAACTGCATTGTTCTACCACGTATAAAATTGTTTATTGTAATAATCTAATTGTAAATTAATGTTCGTTATTTTTTTGATAAATAGCTTATCGATTAAAACAAATGTTTAAACATAATTAAATCGCGCTAATTAAAGTTGAAATTGGCACTAAAAGGCTGGTAATTGGGGCATCCACCCTACAAAGCTTGAATATAAAATTTAAATCAGATGCGTGTAATCACTCTGGGAGCTTGTAGCAAACTAAACGCGCGGCCAACGTGGACGCGGCGACCAATGATCTGCCAACAATCCTTTGATCTTTTGTAAAAAACCGACACCACACGGATCTCGCACCGAATTGTGGGCCATCGTTCCAATACATACCAATGAAGCCCAAACACCGCCGCTACACGTTGGCCAATGCTATTTGCCACTACATTCGCCACTGTGTTGGCCAACGTGTAGAGGCGCCGTTAGGCATAAATCACGGTGTACGGTATAATGTCATATCTGATTAATTATTCTACTTAGTTCCTACTACACAAGACCACGCACTGTCGCAAATTACATTTGTCTCTTTTACGCTTGCGAAAGTTTAATCATGCCATCCTACTTTGACGTC